TTTGTCCTCTTTCTCATCTTTTTTGTCTACTTTCAAGCATTTAAAAAATTATTCTATTTCATCGAATACTTTTTATTGATGTAATATTAGTTATCACTGTTTTTGTTACTGTAGCATTTGCTTTAGGGATTATAGTATACAGATGTTTTAACTTAAAGATAACTTGTAATAGCCAACTTTTAATAGACATTATATGACTGTATGCACAGTCTAAGAATCTTACAAACTATATTTCCATTTAGTCTCTCTAGGCTATCGTTGTTATATATTTTACTTTTTTACTCATGCTGCAGAACTCACATGACACTGATATTATTTCTAAACAGCCCATTGTCTTTTAAAGATATTTAGGTAATAAGGGCAGGTATTGTGTATTTACTGATGGTGTGACTATTGCCAGTGCTCTTCATTTCTTTGTGTGGATCCATGTTTCTATCTGCGCCAAGATATTCTTTATTTTCCTTCTTCCTGAAAGGCTTTTACACTGTTCTCATAGTCCAGGTTTGCTGGTAGTAAATTACTTTTAACTTTTGTATGTCTGAAAAATATCTTTATTTCATCCTTTCTTGAAAGACGGTTTTGCTGGGTATAGAAACCTGGGAGAGACAGTTTTCTGCTTTTGGTTGGAAGGTGTTTCACTGGAAGCATGAAAGACGTTGCTCCACTGCCCTTCCCCTTGCATTGCTTCCAAAAAGAAGTCTGGTATCATCCTTGTGTTTGTTCTCTGTGGAAGACTTATCTTTTTCTCTTTACCACTCTGAGTTTTGATCCATTTGCTTACGATGTGTTGTGATGTGGTTTTCTTAATAGTACCCCCACTTGGGGTTGTTGAGCTTACTGGGTCTGTGGGTTTATAGTTTGCATCAAATATGGAAAATGCTCACCTATTAATTTTTTTTTTTTTTTTTTTTTTCTCGCTTAGTCACCCAGGCTGGAGTGCAGTGGCCAGATCTCGGCTCACTGCAAGCTCCACCTCCCGGGTTCACGCCATTCTCCTGCCTCAGCCTCCCGAGTAGCTGGGACTACAGGCGCCCGCCGCCTCGCCCGGCTAATTTTTTGCATTTTTAGTAGAGACGGGGTTTCACCGTGTTAGCCAGGATGGTCTCGATCTCCTGACCTCGTGATCCGCCCGCCTCGGCCTCCCAAATCACCTATTAATTTTTAAAAATATTTTTTCTATCCATCCACTCTCTTTTCTCCTTTGAGAACTCCAATTACACACAGATTAGTCAACTGAAGTTGTCCCACAGATCACCAATACTCTATTGTGTGAAGAGGCAGAAAAATAGGACCTATAATAAGGATAAACATCAATTAATCTAAAATGACCCAGCAATAGAAAAACCTAGACCAGTGAGCCGAGATCGCACCACTGCACTCCAGCCTGGGTGACAGAGCAAGACTCCACCTCAAAAATAATAATAATAATAATAATAATAATAATAATAGAGCGGTGACTAGAAAAGATGTTTAAAAAGATTCCTTAAGGAGGTCAATAATAATTTTTTAAAGGTTGATAAATGCTGCTGTAATTCTTTTGAGCATTTCTTTCCCTTGCTTCAAGTGGTTTCATGCACTTTGTTACACACTGAAGGGCGACCCCCTCCAGCTTTGCAAAATTTTCTCCAAGTGCAGCTCCTTCCTCGCTGGTACTTTCTCCTGCAATCTCTAGCCACCTTCGTGTACGTGAACTCTCAGCAACAGCTACTCCACTCAGACACCTGCTAGGCTTCCTTAAGCTATCTCCATTGTCGCACTGCTGTCTCAAATTCTCTCAGGTTGTAAGCTGGGATACTCACAGCACACATCTTATTTGTTTCCCATCCTTCAGGGATTACATTCCGTGCCTGATGTCCAGTGTACTGAAAACCATTGTTTCATATATTTTGTCTGGTTTGAGGTTGTTACATGCAGGAGGGTTAGAGGGTAAATATGCTCCCTATTACTCCATCTTATCCAGAAGTAAAATAAGAAAAAATATATGTATGTAAGTATAAACACACATACACATACATATGTATGTAAATAATGTATATAAATCATATCCTAAAGATTTGGAACAAGAAGAAAATTCAGCTATCAATTTTGTTTACTCACTGCAGACTAAGATGAACATTGTAGACTGGAGCATATTATGGGAGCAGGGCAACCTGTAGAATTGGTCAGGAACTAGAAATGTCAGGACCTGCATTCTAACCCATTTTTGTCAGTAATTATCTGTGTAACATTTTATCAAAGCAGTGAAGGCCTTTGTGAAATCTGCAAGAATAGGGATAATGATATGATTTACCTCACTGGCTTGCTTAAGGAGTTAAAATGTGGTGTGAGTCATACAAAGTGCTTGTGCAGCCACAGAGCTTCTATTTTAAGGGCTTTCTTAAAATGTTTAGGTACCATCACAAACTAGCTAAGTTAGAAATTTCCATATCGCAAAATCTAAAAGTTCATTTTATGAGTTTAGACATTTTTATTCGCAGAGCAAATGCAACAATGTGAACCTCACATTTTAAAGTATATAATGGCACAATAAAATGCAAAGATATAATTTTAGTTCATAATCCTCAACCTATAGGCAATAAACTATGTTATCAGTTTGTTAAAAAAAAATACCACAGGAAGTAGTTCTTCAGTACATTTTCCCGACGATATGATTAATCCATAATAAATTTTGCTACTGCTCCTAGTAATGGCAACTTTATGTAACCTTCTTAAACATTATTCACATTTGCACTCAAGTATACCAACTGAAACCCTAAGTGGCTGTTCTGACAACGCATCAGCAATGCGCTTAGCCTGAGCTACATCCATTAGGAGTGATGTGAAGGAGAAGGAAAGCGTTGGACTCCATGATATTTAATGTCTTTACCAATAGAAAAGCTCTATAATTCGTGGAATGCGATTTTTTAATTAAAAAATTGGTTCTCTCTTTACACTTAATTGCCAAAACAGTGTTTACAAATACTTTCATCTTGCCCCAGATTGGCCAATGAGGTAGAAGGTTAAACAACCAATTCATCACGTTTTGATTTAAAATGTGTCCGTATCATTCTTCCCCAACTTCAAGTATATTTTAATAATCCATTTATTATAACCTCACGTATGGATTCAAGAATAAACTAATAGAGCATTTATTTGCCTTCCAGTTGCATATGAAGAAATTAATGTTTTATTAAAGAAAAAAAGCCATGAAAATCAGTTTTCCATCTGCACTCTTTTATTTGTTGCAATACTTTTTATAACAGCTAAGATTTGGAAGCACCCTAAGTGTTCATCAACAGATGAATGGATAAAGAAAATGTGGTTCACATACACAATGGAGTACTATTCAGCCATAAAAGAGAATGAGATCCTGTCACTTGCCACATGGATGGAACTGGAGATCATTATGTTAAGTGAACTAGGCCAGGCACAGAAAGACCGACATTGCATGTTCTCATTTATTTATGGGATCTAAAAATCAAAACAATGGAACTCATGGATACACAGAGTAGAAGGATGGTTAGCAGAGGCTGAAAAAAGTGGTAGACAGCTGGGATAATGGTGGGGCAGAGGTGGGGATAGGTTAATGGGTTTAAAAAAAAACAGAAACAGAAAGAATGAGTAAGACTTACTATATGATAGCACAATAGGGTGACTATAGTCAATACAAACTTAATTGCATATTTTAAAATAACTTAAAGAGTGTAATTAGAGTGTTTGTATCACAAAGGAGAAATGTTGAGGGGATGGATATTCCCCATTCTCCATGATGTGTTTATTTCACAGTGCATGCCTGTATCAAAACATTTCATGTACTCCATAAATATATACACCTAGTATGTACAAAAAAATTAAAAAAACATAGATTTCCCATCAAATATTCTTTCAGAGACGATGTGTACAAAGATCCAGAATTATTGGTCAGTCTAGGCAAACAGAATATCAAATAGCCTAGTATGATTTTCTCCTCTGCTAAATAATTCTGGGAAGGCAGGAAGGTGGGCTTCTCTATGGATTGAAGTTAAGAGAGAGAAGTGTCAGGAGTTTAGTCCAAGCATGACAACCTCCTAGTACTGTCTACTTGAAGAAATTAACTCTTACAACCTTATCTTTGTCTCATCTATAAAACTGAGGGAGCAGGTTAAAAAAAATCTTGTATGTAGGCCGGGCGCGGTGGCTCAAGCCTGTAATCCCAGCACTTTGGGAGGCCGAGATGGGCGGATCACGAGTTCAGGAGATCGAGACCACCCTGGCTAACATGGTGAAACCCCGTCTCTACTAAAAAAAAAAAAAAAATAGCTGGGCGAGGTGGCGGGCGCCTGTAGTCCCAGCTACTCGGGAGGCTGGGGCAGGAGAATGGCCTAAACCCAGGAGGCGGAGCTTGCAGTGAGCTGAGATCCAGCCACTGCACTCCAGCCTGGGCAACAGAGCGAGACTCCGTCTCAAAAAAATAATAATAATAAATAAATAAATAAAAAATAAATAAATAAAAAATCTTATATGTTAATACATGACTTATTCCACTCCATGTCTCTATTACAATGAAAGATCATACACAGTCTGGATGAAAATATGTTAAATTTACTATGATCTTTCACAGTAATAGAGACACGGGGTAGAATATATCATGTACCAGTACTAACTACTATCAAAGTATGTTAAGTTTATGCCGTAATAATTACTCTTAGGAAACAATCAAGATTTACAGTGATTTCCTAAGGTGAATTTGGACAAAAATATTGAGATAATACCACTCACCAGTGTCACTCTTTTATAGAGATAAGCCTTCAATGTCACATTAACTACTCTATTTTTAATATTAGAATTTTGAAGTTTTTAAGCATCAGAATCTTCAGCTTTCTCAAATGAAGAATGGCAATTATACGTTATTTTCTTTTTTAATTTGAAGACAAAATTTGGGAAATTATTACGTTTTACTTTTATATTACAAAAAGGTGTTACTTGCAACTAGCATCTACATATCTAAATAACATTTAAAGACTAAGTTCTCTGCAACAATAAAAAGTACTTTAGATTTTAGTAAGTTGACTGTTAGATGGTTGCTCTCTGGCAGAAGTTTAAATATATACATTCAGAGATATTTTTACATCTAGCAATCAGTAAATATTTATCTCTTTTTCTTGCACTTCGCGTTTAATAATTTAAAATAAAAAGTTTAACAGATGATAAATATCAAATCAAAAAAGGTCAACAAATCTTAATAATCTCAAAATATACAAGGGTAAAGTAATGCATAAACCAATACAGAATACATTTGTCTGCACATTTTTGCATAAATTTAAAAAGCATATAATTTTGTAATTTTAATTTTATAGAGCATTCCCTAAAATATTTTTTATTTTATTTAAAAATGAGTTTACTTTCAAATAAGATTAAGTCTGAAAATCAGTACAAAAGATTGATGGTGATGATGTATCAATATAATTTGATGCATTCGTTTTGCTGTCTTGCAAAAAGTGCAGTGAGCAATGGGCTGTCTGTACTTTCAATACAGATGTAGTATTCTGAGAAGAGATCATTTGTTAAGAGCAGATTTAAGACAGAGAGTGTATTCATTCTTTCAAAAACAACACAAATGAGAAGATGGAAATTCATTTATGTTATAGTAATGCTGAATCAGTATATTTTCAACTTGCCCTGATGTGGAAGAAATATACCATCTCATTAGTCCCTGGTAGGCAGGTGGTATGTGGAATATGAAGACCGTAGCATCACTGCTTTTATATAATTGGTTTATTGAATCCAAATGGTGGTTCCATGCATTATCAAATAACCACTGCTTCAATATTAGTCCTTGGAACTGTCTCCATAACGTTAATTCCAATCCTTTGCTGTCTTAGTGTGTATGTAAACCTTAATGAGACATGTTCCAGTTAATAGCATATATTCAACTTTGGGTAATCTATGGAAATTTGGCCCCATGGTCATAAACCTGTGATCAGAATGGCAGATTTAATAGGCATCATATAAATGCTAACTTTTCTTGGAGTGAACAGCTTTCAGTTTACATTCCAAAAGTGATTAGATGAGATGATAATACACAATGATATTTATACCTAGAGCAGTTCAAAATTTAGAAAAGGAATTAGTGATCTTCAGTTAAGCTATTTTTTTTAAATAAATTGAAAAGATGTTCTGTACAACATAATAGAGTCACAGGAAATTAAAGGCGTATCAGTAACAACTTTTAGAAAAAGAGAAATGAATGATAGAGAAAAACAGCTATGACTTCTCAATATTTTGGGGAAATAAGTTTAGGATGATGTTTCATTCAGGTATTAATGACACAAATAAAGGATAACTCTGTGTAAGAAGTAGTGTTTATATCTGGTTGTAAATTTAGTTAAAAACATAATCACAATTTACAAAAACTGTAATTACAAATTACAAAGAAAAATAGGCAGACAATCTTGTATTGACATCCTCTTGCATCTTGTTACCTACCAATTTTCTGTTCCATTACAAAATTCAATACTAAAATTTCATAGCTAACATTCAATATTAATTTCAACATTAAAATTTATCAAAATGATTAAAAACAGTCAATTAGAAAAAGCAATACACCAAAAATAATGGTGGTATTTCCAGGCTTCTACTGTGTTGTATTAACCATCATATGGGGGAAGAAAAGGGCTGTAAATTTTGGGTAGGCCACTTGGCTCTGGATTCCAGGACTATGGAAAAGCCAGTGAAGGTAAACTAAGAAGCATTTCCTGTTTTATAAACATCAGCAGAGGACCAAAAAAAGGGATCCCAGATATGTTTTCAAGTAACAAAAAGCATTTTACAAATGCATTTTACATTAACAAAGTACAATTTTGTCTTTTACATCTGAACAAAAGTTCTGTCATTTTTAAAAAATAAAGTAGGGTCACAGCTTTATCATCATTTTCTCATCTAAAACCCCACAATTATTAACACAGATCAAACTGCAGTTTTAGAAGAGTCTTTGAATGGGGAAGCTACTGAACAGTGATGAATGGCCACACCTAATTCACCGTTCGGAAATTGACGGAGGACTGTGTTTCACGGAGGGAGAAAGGGGCCTCCCAGAGGCTCTGAGGCTGCAGGTCTTCAGCCAGGTGATAGCACTGCACCCACTGTGTGCACCCTGATGGCAACAGCAGGCAAGTCCGCAGTCGCGGTGACAGAGACAGCCACAGCTGCCAATCAGAAGACTCACTCTTTCTGGCCTTCATGGACTGTGTTTTGCACACAGAGCTCGCTGTTTAGAGCTGTCTCAGCACTCTTCTTTTTTTGAGACTTTTGACTCATTTTCTTTGCGTAACTTTCTCTGTTGATAGATGCGTATGGCTATGGCAGTGATGCAAAGCAAAATAAATATCACAACTGCTATCACGCCTAGGGAGGGAAAAGAAAAAATAAAACATTAGAATTTTTTTCTTTTTCTTTTTTCTTTTTAGAGAGAGGGTCTCACTCTGTCACCCACGCTGGAGTGCAGTGGCATAGCTAACTGTAGCCTCGACCCTCCCAAGTAGCTGAGACTATAGGCCGCTTCACCACGTTCAGCTACTTTTTTTTTTTTTTAAACAATTATTCTTTGTAGAGATGGGGTGTTGTAGAGATGCTATGTTGAGATGCTATGTTGCCCGGGCTGGTCTTGAACTCCTGGGCTAAACTGATCCTCTCACCTTGGCCTCCCAAATTATTGGGATTACAAGTGTGAGTTACCGTGCCTGGCCTCAATGTCAGAATATAAATGGTGACTTTTGCTCCAATCAGAGGCTTTGAAGACATCATTGCTTTTTAAGTTTGGTTAAAATAAACCAACCATCTATTATATTATAAACTGAAAACATCAAAACTCAGAAATGCTAACGCCAAGTAATTTTATGACATTTAGCATACTTCTGAGCTACTGTGACTTTTGGATGTGGCTGTGTTAGGCTTTTCCCCTACAGATACATGATGATTGGGTTTCAGATAATGCTTTCAGATTTAAAAGAAGACAGACATACATGTCTCTAAGATCATGTGCATCCTTCAGTTAACAAGTGGGAAATTTTAAATCATTTAAAAAGTATAGCGTGTTTAGCATCATCATAGATCATTAAATGTTATTGTTAGTACAGTGAAATGGGTACATTTTAATAAAATTGTTTTCAAATACTTTTATGATGCTATACTTTTGAAACGCAGTAGTGTAGCATATAGGTAATCAATCCCTATTACCAAAAATAATGGAGGCAGATTTATTATTATTTTTTTACCTGGAATGTGGATTATTTGAAACAGGTGGGTGAAATGTTTTAAAATATTGAATCCATTAGCAGTGCCCATGATTCTCGACTCTAGCTGCACACTCAGTCAGTAAATCAGAAGAAATGAATGGAAGGCCTGGATATCAGTATCTTTACAAATTGTTCCAGGCTTTAATTCAGAGCCAGAGTGCTAAAGCGTGAAGCCATGCCACAGAATGCTGTTTACTGAAGCAATCATACTAGTGACAAATGAAAGTAAAATCTATGCTAAAAGAAATAAATACATATAAAGACAAGCTTCTGAAGGTAATCAGAATATGTCACCCCCAAATATGCCTTTTTGACAAATATTTTGAGGTAAAGGCAATTACGAAGCAGCCAGTGGAGGAAGAGCTCTCTAGATCCGCCCCTCCTTTCACCTAAAGACAGGATGTAAATTCTCTTTTACCGGAGACCATTCTTACCAGCTCAGGGATGTCAGCAGAAGCATGTACAAACACACTTACTCCATTAGTTTCTTCCCATGTATTTATCTTCCCATGGTTTCTCGCCTTTGGAAGCCTAAAATTGCTTTCCACTGTCCTGTCAGTTCTCCACGAATGTATTGTTGCAGAGGAGCCAGAGTTCTAAGCCACCGCGCTTTGACTTTCACTGAGGTTTCTCCCACATGCTGTGGGGCTGCATGCCTTAGTCAACTTGCTTGTTTTTCTCTTGTTAATCGGAGGTCTGTCCCAACTACAAACTTATGAGTGATGAGGAGAAATCATATTTCCTCCCCCATGCTTTTACTGCCTACATAGTACATTTAAAGTACTTCACAAAAATATTAATTTATACCTTCAGCCAGTCCATATTAGAAAATGCAAACTGCCTTTGGGAAAGCCCAGGGGAAGCCTTCCAGACTCCTTTTCATCCCCTCCTTCAGAAACCAAGTAAGAATTTATCAGGGGAAGGAACACTGCTAAGATGTTTCTCTACGTTTACTCAGTCAATCTTGCCAGTGATACTTGACCACAAGCAATATAATACAATTCCAAAGATAAGAGCTGGTTCTATTATCAACTTGCCCATTTCCTTATCACCAAAAGCTGGGCACTATCCCTGACATTGTGTAAATGTCTGTAGGCCTTGGAAACCTAGTCTGAAAATGTTCGGCATGTTGAAATTGCATTTGCATTGCAATGAAAAAAATCTCCTAAAAAAGGCAGGATTGATTTAGGATTGGATTGTATTTAAAATTGAACACGCAAGTATACCTTTTAGATATGCATTATTGACCACATTCCCACTGGAAACTTTAAAAACAGTTTTTGTTCACCAGGTCATGTATTTTTAATTTACACCTTACTGATTGCTAAGAGAAAAAGAATTGAGATAGTGATGGAAATGTAAATATCCCCAACTCAAATTTAGTCAGAACTTTATTGTGTTGAAACTGTTTTCTGTCATTTTGGAGGAAACAAACACACCTAGCTTACTTTTGTATGTGTTATAGAGATTCTGCAGAATAAGAATACAATCAACATTGCAATAATTCGGCCGGGCGTGGTGGCTCACACCTGTAATCCCAGCACTTTAGGAGGCTGAGGCAGGCAGATCACAAGGTCAGGAGATAGAGACCATCCTGGGTAACACGGTGAAACCCTGTCTCTACTAAAAATACAAAAAATTAGCCGGACGTGGTGGCGGGCACCTGTAGTCCCAGCTACTCGGGAGGCTGAGTCAGGAGAATGGCGTGAACCCGGGAGGTGGAGCTTACAGTGAGCCAAGATCACGCCACTGCACTCCAGCCTGGGCAACAAAGCAAGACTCCATCTCAAAAAAAAAAAAAAAACTTTCAATAATTCACTCGTTAATTAACAAGTAAAGGTGAATGCTTATTTTTTGCACCAGTTCTAAATAAATTATATTTTAGAAAAAAAGTTTTCATTGCCTAAACATACTTTTAAACTGTGCTTAATTTTACTTTTCTTCAGTTAAAAATAACCACAAAACATTCTTAGCCTATTAGATTAGTTCTTTCCAAAGTATGATTAAAAGTGAAACATACAATGGCTACTGCTGTAAATGTCCTTAATGACAGGGAATTGTACACTTTAAAATAATAATGCATTTTAAATAATGCGTGCATTTAAAACTTCTTAAATAAGTGAAACATTGTTATGGGAGTATCTAAATCATGCCATTTGTCATTAAAGGAAAGTACCATAAAGTGTGTGCTCTGATAATTAGCTGAGGTTTCCATTGCTTTGAACATAATTACTTCAGGTTCGTCCAGCAGTTGCCATTACTTTGACAAATATCCCATATGTCCTAGGGAATACAGCTATTTTCAAATTCATTATTAGTTTTGTAACTGTTCTTCAAAAAAAATTGTTTCAGCAGAATTCTTACACACTGAGCATCCCCAGGGAAGCTGAAATCAGCAGATACTGCCTCAGAAAATCAACGAAGGCCGGGCACGGTGGCCATGCTTTTGCTCTCAGCACTTTGGGATGCTGAGATGGGCAGATCACTTGAGGCCAGGAGTTCGAGACCAGCACGGCCAATATGGAGAAACCCTGTCTCTACCAAAAACACAACAAATTCGCCAGGCATAGTGGCGCACGCCTGTCATCCTAACTACTCAGGAGGCTGAGGCAGGAGAATCGCTTGAACCCGGCAGGCGGAGGTTGCAGGGAATGGCGATCTCGCCACTGCACTCCAGCCTGGGTGACAGCGGGAGACTCCTGTCTCAAATAGAAAAAACCAAAAACCAGAAAAGCACAAAGCAATACATAGCACCCCTGTGGCCTCACCATTGAGCGTTGATTCTTACATATATTTCCCATTGTGCTAAGTAATGCATCAGTATCTAAAGCGATAATGACAAACAACCGGTCATTCAGGGCCTTGTTACCTCCGATGACCGCAGAGTCTCTTCTGTCCGCATTAACCAAGGGCTCTCCCTCATCCGCTGGTCCAGAACGACCTACAACAGGGAAAGGGAGAAAGATGCTTATTAGCGTGATTTAATCACGCCACAATTCACACATATCAACTTTTGTCAATTAAAAGTGAATTAAAATAAGAACATCACAAAAATATATTTTAAAAAAGGAAAAAAGAGAGGATGACAGAGACAGAGAAAAGAAGGCTTTTGAGAAAATCACAAACATTTGAGAGAAGCGCAGTTTCGGGTGCGCTGGGGTGGAAGGCCACACACCTGCGCCCCCTGCGAGTCGGGGAGCCAGTTCCCGAGCCGGGGAGCCGGACGCTGCCCCCGCCGCGCAGCGGGTCACTGGGGCCACGTGGCCGCGCACGGTGACCCGGGAGGGGCCGCCGGGGCGCAGCGCCGCCTTCAGGGGAGCAGCGCGGCCAAAGCGCACCGCGGAGAGGCAGCCAGTGAAGCCACTCGCCGCTGCCCGCCGTGTGTCCGGGTCCGCGCCGGCGGCCTCTGAGGACAGAAGGGGGACACACAGTTAGGGCGCAGCGGCGGAGATGGGGCGCAGGGGCACCCCGCATTTGCAAGACAGCGACCCTCGAAAGTCCCTCCAAACCCCTTGATCCTTCACTCCAGGAGAGGTCACCCTGAATCTTTACTTTTGGCAACTATTTCCATTGTCAGGGTTATGATAACAGATTTGTTCAAGTCCAGATGGCTGGCTCTCTGCAAGTACCAGAACTTCATAGGAAAGCAGTTACATGGTATACATTTAAGAAATCCTCTGCCATTTAATTTTTAAAATATAGCATTAAAATAAAATTTTAATGGGACTCAGCCAATAATTCCGAGATTACAGAAAAATGACTCTTGGACGGCAGAGCTCTGCAAATCCTTTCTGGTTTTGCTTATTATATCATATTATAGTTGCTATTTTGTATGATGACTTTCATATTATCTAAATAAACTATCTTTTGTCATCAGATAATATCCCTCTTTATCTCATTTAAGATTCGATTATATTCCAATCTTAAATTCAATCTTATCTGAAAGTAGTGCTGCATTTCTTAAATTTATCAGCTGTTGCCTGCTGGTTTTTGGCAGGCCCCTTCATGTTCAATATTGTAAGAGCATTTAACTGTTATTTTTAAACCTCGTTTGACAGAATTTAGTCCATTCGTCTTTAGAGTAATAACCACTATATCTGATTTTATTCTTTTTTATCTTACACTATTTACTTTGCATGATTGTTTCATCTTTTTTCCTTTTATTTTGCTGGTTTAATCAGTTTCCTTCTTATTTCCTGCTTTCCGTTTTGTGAGTTTGAGAGCTCAACTTCCCTAGCCCTCACAATCAAAATTATTCCTTTACACAGTTACATGAAAACAAGATCCTCTTTTTCCAACTTTCCCCCACTCCCAATAGTGAGATGATCGATTGCACGGGTTCTTTCTCCCAACCCTCCCTCCCACCCCACCGCGGGGTCCCCACAACAGATCTTCCCTAAATGGGAGGCTTGGGAAATTCTTCTTTCTTTCTTCTCTCACTTTTACCTTTTTACCTTTCTTTCTTTGGTTTTACTCTAGTACAGTTAGATCCTGACCAGAGTGACAATTTCTCTTACACTTATATTTTTCTGTTTCCAGTTCAAGGATCTTTACGTAATTTATTTTTTTCCAAGAAAGAACTTCGACAGGATTGACGAAGACTCTCCCCATGACCAGATGTTGGTCAGGCTACTCTAAGCTCTCGGCTCAACCAGCCTGACCTTTGGTCTTTCATCGGCCAGCTTACCTAGAATCCTGCCAATCTGATTTTAACCCAAATCTCCCACCGTCAATATCTGATCACCCTCAATGTCTAATCACTACCTTTCTCATCCCTCTCCTCACCCGACAGGTGATATCTGACTACCCTGGCCTGGCTTCACCAAGAATCCTGGTAAGTCAGTTTGGCAAGAATTACTCTCTCTTATTTTGTAATTTTCCACTCAGACACCCCACCCCAGCCACTCTGTTCAAGTATCAATATATTGATAACTTAGAACAGAGTGTTTTGAGTAACTTTCTTTGTAAAATTAGTGGCTTCTCTATTAGCCAACTTGTTGGTCTATTTTACTATAAGTTAAAGCACTTCCTATATAATTCCAAATTTAAATATAAAAGTGTAGTTTTGGTATAATTACTAAATGATGTGAGAGTGGCAAAAAATTTATAGCAGAACCAATCCTAAAATATAGTTGTTCAAAGTATAAAGTGTTTTATTAATCTTTGATGATTATCTCTACCTCCAAGGACAGGCAAAATGAATATTTATAATTTTCTGAGATCAGTTGCTTCTTACTATATACTTCACTGCTGAATTTGAATGTAGATTTTTATACCATAAGTTACATGCCTTTGAATATACCATCCTTGAATGAAAACATTAACACCTTCAATTTCATGTTCTCCTTTTTTTGGAAGGAAACAAAGATGTATATAATAAATATTATTCTACTTTTTGATCCTCTTAATATTAAAGTGTAGTTCATTTTCTTAATTGATTTACATAAGATGGGTATTTTTCTTTAAAAAAAGATTATTTTCCTCAGTTCCTTTATTAAATGTAAAGCTAACTGTGCTTTTACAACAGGTTATAAAAGACAATATGATAGACAATTACTGTAACTTTCTACCTTGCGTAATAGATGTTTATGAATATGCCTCCCCATTCCTGTCAGATACTAGAGTCGTAAAGGATGGAAACAACAGGTAAAGCAGGGCTTGAGACAGAATTAAAACTGTATTCATCTGCCGTAATAAGATAAACAGTTTTTTTCTCTTTTTTTCAACTCAAATGTAGTTTTAGCATTGAATGACAGTCTCTGGAGTTGATGTTAATACATACATAATCTGTGAACTTAGTGTCAGCTTTGATAATATTTCACTTTTCAAGAGGGGTTAGAAAAACACCGTGGTTCATTATGCATGATTGCCAAGTGACAGGTTAAGTGTGGAGGTATTTTTCCAGGGACGCCCTTGCACATCTCACAGGCAGCACTTACTCATGATTATATGTACACTCAGGCAAGAGTACAGTTTGCACCTTGATTGTCACTCACTGTGAAATTATTATTCAAGTAAGACAAGGAGCTTCTTTCAGCATGATGAATGCTGCCAGGGTTTGTGACATGACACTTGCGTTTTTTGGAAAAAAGCCTTTTCTTCTACTTACCTAAAACCTTTCCCAATATGAGAGATTTGACGGCGTTGAATTCTGTCCCTGAGGACAAGATGACTTGTTTCTTTGCACTCTGGTTAACCTATTAGATGTCCCATGAGAAGCAAACATCAACAGCAAGTACAATTTTAATGATAAGGAAGCAAAGGAAGATGAGGAAAGGAAAGATGAAAATAAATCACTTTTAAGTATCACTACAAAAGTTCAAGGAGCCACCTTCAAGTAATTAATCATTTAGAAGGGGAAGCTATTTTATAGCAATTCCTATGATGCCATCAGCTACCACTGTCTCTATGATCTACCCACTTGCTGGCTTTACTCTTCTTCATAATGGAAGGATCTATAATGGGCAGAGTCCATGAAAAAGATGGAAGCAGCTGTTTTAAACTTAAATACGTACTCATTCTGTGGAGAAAATTTCAAACATAAAACCAAGCATTGTTGTCCTCTGCGCAGATTAAAAGTATATTTTCCTTCCAATGCCGATGACAATGTGTAATTTACTTTGTCTGTTGTGACTCAGGTCTATTTTCTTATTCCCATTTTAATGACTATGTTGTGTGCTTTTAAACCGTGTTTTTAAGTTGCTAAAGTATTTGTTCTTTTATAATCAGAATAAGGCAAGTTCCCACTGCAGTATCAATGAATAGATTCCACCAGTAGTCACTATAATAAACTAGAAAACATTCCCCTACTGAGTAAAGTAAAACAAATAAAGATATTTTGATATTTTAAATAGTAAAATATTAATAATACCTTTGACAGAATTATATTGCTAAACAAACAAAACAAAGCAATACAGAATAGACCACCACCTCCTCTCCCCCAGATCCTGGCCATATTTGGCTTCTTTTTCTTGACTTACGGAAGAGCAGCACTGAATGGGTTGCTCTTTTATTAATATCTATTATCAAATTTTTGCATTAGATTATTTGTTCTCAAAATAATAATATTAGTTAGTCTGACTTTTGAATTTTTGGGATTACCTCTACCACGACCACTGCGTCTTCTCTGTTAATTTTCACTTGGTGAAGTTGCCCATCAGCCATGTTTTTAAAATCAAAGGCAAATGCATCAGGATTTTGATGTCTATCTAGCTTGTACCTAATCTGCAAACTTCCTAAAAAGAAAAATAAATGGCATTTAAAATTAAAGTGGTATTTTATAAAACTCTTGATATAGATTCTAGAGCACTTTTATTATTATTTACTTACAGCACTTTTGAATCTATTTAGCATCAATTTAGATGCACCCAATAGTCATCTTTCCTGGAACAGTAATTACTTAAGTGCTATTCCAGTGCCAGACTCTGGGTCCAATGATGCTATTTTAAAAGTCAAGACTAAATGTGTTGTTAACAAGCAGTCTCTCTTCATTTTTAAATGAAAAGGTTTAAATTATGCATATGAGCTCAGAACTCAGATCTAAATTCATTATGACTTTGATATTTATTTTATGAAATGATGAAACTCCATGCAACATTGTATCAACATTCAGTTCCTGTAATTATAACTTCTAATAAGACTCATTTTAATGTATTACTGATATGTGGATACAGATTTTTTATAGCCAGAATTATTTTAAGTCTCCTGCCATAATCCAAAAATGAGGAAGAGAAAAGGTTCTGTCAGGAGACAAGGTTTCCAAAATATCTACATCATCTAATATACATACCCCTCTGCTACACAGATGTACCCTCATTATCTAGAATTCTCTTGCAGCTTATGCTAAGATCCTGTCAATCAGATATGTATATATATACACACACACACTTGAGGTGGAGTCTCTCTCTGTCACCTAGGCTGGAGTGCAGTGGTGCGATCTCAGCTCACTGCAAGCTTCACCTCCCTGGTTCACGCCATTCTCCTGCCTCAGCGTCCCAAGTAGCTGGGACTACAGGCGCTCGTCACCACGCCTGGCTAGTTTTTTGTATTTTTAGTAGAGACGGGGTTTCACAGTGTTAGCCAGGATGGTCTCGATCTCCTGACCTCGTGATCCGCCCGCCTTGGCCTCCCAAAGTGCTGGGATTACAGGTGTGAGCCACCGCGTCCGGCCTAATCAGAGATTTTGTAGATTGTTTTCTAGACATTAAATTTTTGTGCTGTGTATCTAACAAACTTAAAGCTTGGTCTTCTTGTTCAACTGTGAAAGCCTTGGAATGCCTCAGTTACCACTGTTTGAGAGGGTGCCACTATACTTTTCTTCTATAAAAGTGATATAACTAGTTTTTCAGTCACTGATGAGATAGAGAACAGCTGTACTTATCTGTTGCTTAAAGGAATTGGCTTTTATATAGCTGTACTATAACATCCACATAAATGCTCCTCTATTTTGCTTAGAATGAGGAGGGAATGTATGTCATGTATCTAGATATCTTATTTCAAAATGAACTGCAAAACCAATTTGAGTCATCATGTACTATTAAAGGCATCCTATCAATAATAAGAATATAATGGCATATCAACTCCATAAAATTATCAAACATGTAATGTGAGAAAAGCATCTTAATTTAATCTTGAAATGCTAGCTTTTATAATAACCATTAAGGAAGGCACTGAAAAACCAAAGACATTGGAAGGCATGCAGTTTTCTTTCATCATTTGTAGTTTGAATGCTGAGAAGACCCATGCCATTACAGTCCTATTTTTCTAATTCAGGGTTCTCTTTTTCTTTACACAAAAGATATTCACCATTGTTGGCGAGGATAACTGAAAGGTATTCCTCATAGAAAGAGCTCACATACAGCAATAAGCTCGGAGTTTGTGTGGTTCGGAAGCTCAGCGTGATCATTTCTCTGGTCAATGTTACATCTCTGTGTAACGAAGAAACGAGGGAGCTGGAGTTTTCACTTAAAGTGTAATGTTCTTGAAAATGATATGTCATTGAGGAGCCAGTTTGAAAATATGCGGAAATCTCTGAAATGATAAATACATTTTTGTTATGTTAACAAAATGTAAGTCTAACAGTCTTGTGTTAAGTACGTTTAGAGAATGAGACCAAACCTTAAATATCCTGGGAGATAAAATAATAGTGAAATGTTTTCCTGTTTTTTTATTTTTCACTTTTAAAATTTTTTTAAAAACTGCAGTTTGAAGAAAAAGTAGCAAACTCCAATATACTCATAACTCAGAATTGACTAACATTTAATAGAGATTTTATTTAATTCTCCAAATCATCCTCATCTCATATTTACATATGATTTATTCTCCAGAATAAATGTATAATTTCAAAGTAACTTATCTCATCTTTGGGTTCCAATATTTTCCCAAATCATTCATTTTTAAACATCTTTATTCAGATATAATCCATATGCCATGTAATACACCCAATTACAGTGTAAAATTCTATGTCTTTTAGTATATTTGCAGGCATGTGCAAACATTGCTACAATCAATTTCAGAGTATTTTCACTCCTCCCGACCTTCTTATTCCCTCGTACAAAACCCTCCATATCCACTAGCATTCTCTGTTTCTCTCCAACATCCCAGCCTATGCAACTACTAATTTACTTTCGGTCTCTGCAGAGGTTCCTATTCAGGAGATTTCGTATCAGTGGAATCATATAATGTATGGTCTTTTTAATCTGGCCTCTCACTTAGCATGATATTTTCAAGGTTCGTCCATCTTGTAGCATATATCAGAATTTTATTCCTTTTTATTGGTGAATAATATTTCACTGGATGTAAATAATAATGGATGTGCCACATTTTGTGGATCTATTTAACAGTTGATAGACATTTGGGTTGTTTCTACTTTTTGACTATTATAAATAATGCTTCCGTGAAAATTCATGTGTAAGTTTTTCTATGGACACGTTTTTATTTTTCTTAGGTATATATACCTAGGAGTAAAATTGTGTAATCTTATGATAACAACAACTTTAAGATTTTGAGAAAAAAAAAAAAAAAAGATTTTGAAGAACTGCCATATTTTTTCCAAAATAGCTATACCATTTTACATTCCAAACAGCAATTAGGAGGGTTTTAATATCTCCACATCCTCACCAACATTTGTTATTATCTTTCTTTCAAATTACAGCTACACTTGTCTGTGTGAAGAGGTATTTCATTGTGACTTTGATTGTGTCTCTCTACTGGCTAATGTTGCCAACTATTTTTTCATGATTTTATTGGCCATTCACACATATTTGCTAAAGAAATACCTATTTATAAGCTTTACCTACTATTTAATTGGGTTAAATTTCTTTTTATTCAGTTGTTTTTTTTTTGTTTTTTGTTTTTTGTTTTTTTTGAGGTGGAGTCTCGCTCTGTCACCCAGGTGGGAGTGCAGTGGTGCAATCAGCTCACTGCAAGCTCTGCCTCCTGGGTTCAAGCCATTCTCCTGCCTCAGCCTCCTGACTAGCTGGGACTACAGGAGCCTGCTACCACGCCCGGCTAATTTCTTTGTTTTTTTTAGTAGAGACGGCATTTTCACTGTGTTAGCCAGGATGGTCTCGATCTCTGACCTCATGATCTGCCCGCCTCGGCCTCCCAAAGTGCTGGGATTACAGGCGTGAGCCACCGCGCCCAGCTTCTTATTCAGTTGTAAAAGCTGTTTAAATAATTTGAATACTAGACTCTTTTAAGATATATGATTTGCAATAATTTCTTCCATTCTATGGGTTATCTACTCTTTCATTCTCCCATGTTTTAAGAGTTTTATAGTTTTAGTTCTTACATCGAGGTCTACTTGGTACATTTTTATGTATGTGTGAGATAGAAGTCTAATTTCATTCATTTGCATGTGCATGTATATTCAGTTGTTTCAGAGACTATTTCTTCCCATTGGGTTGTCCTGGCACTCTTGTAAAATCCATTGACCATAAATGGTGAGGTATCTATCTGGAATTTCAGTTTTATCCCACTGAGCTATCTGTTTAGTCTTAGGCCAGTTATATACTGCTTTGCAGTAAGTTTGGTAATTGGGAAGTGTGAATCTATCAAATTTCTTCTTTTTCAAGATTGTTTTGGCTATTCTGCATCACTTAAATTTTCATATGAAATCAACCTGTCAATTTCAGGAAAGAAGCCAGCTGGGATATTGACTCAAACTGTACTGAATCTGTATATTAATGTAGAGAACACTGGTATTTTATTTATATTAATTATTCAATCCATGACATGAAATATCTCTCCATTTATTTATCCTTAATTTCTTTCCATGCTTTATAGTTTTCAGTGTGTTTTCCATTTCTTTTGTTAAATGTATTGCTATGTATGTTATTCTTTTTGATGCTACTGTAAATAAAATTCTTATTGATTTTATTTTCAGATGATTCATAGCTAATGTATAGAAATACAATTTATTTTGTATATTGTTCTTGTATTCTGCAATTTTGCTGAACTTGGTTTTAGTTTTAATAGTTTTAAGTAGATTCTTTGGGTTTTTTTATATAAAAAAATCACACCATCTCAAATAGAGATAGTTTTATTTCCTTTCTAATTTGGATCTTTTTTTCTTTCTTTTTTATTTTTTCATTTTCTTGCCTAATCAGCCTGGCCTGAACCTCTAGTACAATGCTGAATAGAAGTAGTGAGAGCATACATTCTTGTCTTGTTCTTGATCTTAGGAAAAAAACATTCAGTCTTTATAATCAAATATAATAATTTTAGCTATGAGTTTTTAAAAAATGCCATTTGTTAGATTGAGGAAGTTATCTTCCATAATTACTTTCTTGAAATTAAACAAAAATTCATGAAAGGATGTTGGATTTTATCAAATGACTTTTCTGCATCAGTAGAGATTTTCATGTGTTTCTGTCCTTTATTTCTTAGATATAGTGTATTATATTAATTGATTTTCAGCTGTTAAAACAACTTTCCATTTCTGGGATCATTTCCACTTTGTCTTGATGTATAGTCATTTTTATATGTGACTGGATTTGCTTTGGTAATATTCTGTTTAGGGTTTTCATACCTATCTGCTTAAATGATATTGGTCTATAGATTTAAAATATATATACTGATATATCTATGTCTGGCTTTGGTATTAGAGAAATACTGACCTTACAGAATAAGTTGAAAAATGCTCCTTTCTCTTTTATGTTTTGGAAGAGTTTTGAAGAATTAATACTTTTTATTTAAATACTTGATAGATTTTTAAATAGTCGATATATTCTGATAGTTGATAGCATCAATTGTTTGAAACCATCTGGACCTGGGCTTTACTTTGTGTGGTATTTTAATATTATTAAGACACTCCTTTTATTGTTACAGGCCTATTTATATTTTCTCCTCCTTCTTGAAAGAGAAGTAGTAGTTTGCATTAATTTTGTAGTTAGTGTCATCCTAGAAATTTGTCCATTTTATCTAAGTTATGTAATTTTTTTTCAACATAGTTGTTTATATTCCCTTGCAATCCATGCTATTTCTGTAAGGTTGGTAGTAATATCACTCTTTCATATGTCTTTCTAGTAATCTGCATCATCTCTTTTATTCTTGGTCAGTTGTACTAAAGGTTTGCCAATTTTGTTAACAATTTTAAAGGACTGACTTTTGGTTTGGTTAATTTTTTCTGTCACTTTTATATTATCCATTCGAGAAATTTCTCTTGTTTTACTTATTATTTCCTGCTTCCTCCTTACATTAGATTTAGTTTGCTCTTCTTTTTTCAGTGTCTTACAGTGGCAGGTCAGGTTTTTTTTTGGGAACCATTTTTCTTTTTAAATATTGATGTTTACAGCTTTAAAATTCCCTCTAAACCCTGCTTTAGCTGTGTTACTATATGTTTTAGAAATGTTGTATTTTTGCTTTCATTTATCTCAAAGCCTTTTCTAATTTCCCTTTTGATTTTGGAGTGTATAATTTCCACATATTGTGATATTCTACAATTTCCTTCTATTATTAATTTCATCCCATTGTGTTTATAAAAGACCCTTCATATGATTTCAATCCTTTTAAATGTGTTGAGGTTTGATTTACAGGTAGCATGTTGTCTAACCTAGAATATGTTCCATGAACACTTGAGAAGAATATACATTCTGCTATTGTTAAGTGGCGTGTTCTACAGATGTGTGCTAGAATGATTGCGTTAGCTTTTTCAACTCTATTTTCTTGGTAATCTTCTGAGTAATTATTCTATCCTTTATTGAAAGTGAAGTATTGAATCCTCCAGCTTATTCCTGGTTTGTCTGTTTCTCTTTTCAGTTCTGTCAGGTATTCTTTATGTAATTTGGGGCTATATTATTAACTACTTATAAATTTGTAGTCATTATATCTTTTTGAGGGAATTAACTTTTTATCATTATAAAAGTTTCTCTATTTCTAGTAGCACCTTTTGTTTTAGAGTTTATTTTTTGTGATATTAACTATAGTCCCTTTAGCTCTCTAGGGTTACTCTTTGCATTGTACATGTTTTCCCTTCTTTTACTTTCAACTAAATTACCCGTTTCAATCTAAACTGTATCTCCTCAAACAGCCTTAGTTAAGATTTCTTTTGTTATCCAGTCTGACAGTATCTGTCTTTTGATTGGATTACTCAGTCGATGACGTTTAATATTATTACTGATACAGTTGGATTTACATCTGCCACTTTCTTTTTCTTTTTCTGTATGTTTCATTGTTTTCTTTTCACTTTCGTTCTTGACTTATTATTTTGTATTGGTGCATAGTTTGGAGTGTAACATTTTAATTTCTTTCTTGATTTCACTATACTTTGGGGTAAAATATATGTAATATATAATTTGCCACTTAACCATTTAAAATGTGAAATCTAGTAGCATTAATTAAATTCACAATGTTGTGCAATTATCACCTCTTTTGATTTCCAAAATTTTTCATCACCCCAAAGATAAACTCTGTATTCATTAAGCAATAACTCTCCATTGCTCCCTCATCTCAGCTGCTGGTATCCTTGAATCTACTTTGTCTCTACAAATTTGTCTACTGATATCTAGTAAACACGGAGTCATATAATA